CTTTACTGACAGTTCATCTCTTTTATTTGGCTCAAACCGAATCTTGTAGTACCACATTACGAATAATCTTTTCTGCTTAACTATTGTGGGAGATTTCCTACTAAATTGGTAATCATGGTGTCTTTCAATCCCCCACTGTGTTGCACGGGTACGGGTACAGACATGGGTACGGGTACGGACACACTATATGACAATTTTGTAAAATGTAGGGTACGAGGACACTGCAAATTTTAATAATATCCAACAGTTATTCAATAGAAAAGGATCATGTATAAAAAAATAATCAATACTTCAGAAATTTAACAATTTGAAGAACAAAAAGATAATTCTTACATTGGTGTTGTCTCTTTCTTCAGTCATCAAGTCCTTACGAACCATGCACCTCTTTGATTTAGCACCTCAAGACAATAAGCACACAAGCTCGCAATGAAATATATTCAAGAAAATCCAACAGTTATTCAATAGAAAAGGATCATGTATAAAAAAATAATTGTTAAAGAGAGAGAGTCTTAAAAAAAATTCTTTGAATTGAATATTGAGTGTGTACATATATATACAAGTAGAGGAGGAGGTTTATCCTTATAACCAATGTGGAACTAAATCCACTACTAACACTATTATCAACAACCATCCTCAAACTCATGTTGAATCAAACAAAGTGAGTTTGCGTATAAGAAACTGGAATCGATGAACGTGTAAGGTCTTTGTGAAGAAATCTGTAAGCTCGTTAGCGGATGAGACATGGGGAAGTAGAATTGTCTTGTTCTTGATAACTTGTTGACGGATAAAATAAGCATCGATCTCAATATGTTTGGTCCTCTCATGAAATACTGGATTATTAGCAATCTGGATGTCACGCTTATTATCACAGTAGAGAGGAGTAGGAGTCGTAACAGAAACATCAAAATCAACGAGAAGAAGATGAATAATCTCTTTAGCTATTGTGGACATTGCACGATACTCTGCCTTAGTGCTAAAAAAAACAATAACATATTATTTCTTACTCCGTCAGGAAATAAGAAAATCATTAAGAAATATACAATAACCTGTGGTAGACTTCCTAGTAGTGGGATCACCAGCTCAATGAACATCAGAATATACACAAAACTCTAACTTGGATGTAGCAGAAAACAAAAGAGAGCGTGGGCTAGTACCCCGGAGATACCGAAGAATTCATAATAAGGCAGCATAGTGTGCAGAACGTAGGACACTAATAAATTGACTGATAATACCAACATCATAAGAGATATCTGATCGAGAGATGCATAGATAGGCCAACTGCCTATAAGATGTCGGTATCGGGTAGGATCAAATAGAGGCTCACTATCAGTAGAGTGAGGTTTGATATTCTGTTGGAGTGGAGTATCAACAGTTGTATTGTCAGTTAGCTCAGCGCGATCTGGAATATTTAAGAGATACTTCTGTTGAGACAGTAGTACACCCCACGGGCTCTGAGAAAATTTTAGACCAAGAAAATAACGAAGGGATCCAAGTTCTTTCAGTGGAATTATTGTAATTGAGATTTTATGAATTGTATACCAGCAACATCATCACTTGTAATGATCATATCATCTACATAAAGTAGTAATAAAATTCTGACACGCGATATAGTGCGAACAAACAAAGAAGCATCTTGATACTCTCCATAAAGCCCGCCTTGAGCACGAGATCGCGAAAACACTCAAATCAAGCACGGGGTGCCTGTTTGAGATCATAAACAGCATAACGAAGGAGACATACATGTTCCGGAAGAATATTAGATCCTAAAGATGGTTGCATATATACTGTCTCAGATAAGGAGTCATGAAGAAAATCATTCTTGATATCCATCTGGTATAAGGCTAGCGATGAGCAACAGCAACCGCAAGTAGAGTACGAACGGTGGGCATCTGAGTAACAGGAGCAAATATCTCATTATAATCAATACTTTGTTGTTGAGTAAAATCTCAAGCTACTAAACAAGCTTTTTGATGTTCAATGGTGCCATCAGGACGATACCTGACCTTGTAAACCCATTTATTGCCAACAAGAGAGATTTCAGGGGGACAGGGAATGACATCCCAGATATGTGTTTGCTTAAATGCCAATTTTTTTTAGTCATAGCCTGTCTCCACTCTGAAAATTAAACTTCCTCTTGAAAGGATTTTGGCTCAACGGTAGTATGAATGACAGCAATAAAGTTATGAAAGATAGGTGAATAAGAAGTAACCGAAGCATACCGGACATGCATGATATGTAGGCGTTTGTCTTGACGAAGAGCAAGAGGAACCTCAGGCGGGGGAGATGTTGGCGCAGGTGCGTGGAGATCAATAATATTTTTTAGAGTGAGTGTCGTGTCCACGGGATAGAGATCCAGATGGTATAAGAGAAGGTTCGGGTGAGGAAGAGTCAACAAAAGGAGATGAAAAGATGTCAGGGAGATCTCGAAAGGAAAACTGAGGTAAAAAATAGGTGATGCAGCTGACGGGGAAGCATGATCAGTAGAGTGGAGGAAATTAAAGTCATCAGAAGCATAATAATATGGAGAATCCTCTTCGAACTGAACGTGACGAGATATATGAACACGAGTTGCGGGATCATAACGTTAACCTCGATATTCTGAGCTAATTCCTAAATAGACACAAGAAACAACTCTGGGAGATAACTTATCACGCTCGTGTGATGGCAGAAAAACGAAACAATGACAACAAAAAACGCGGATCAGATCATAACAGGGAGGATGAGTATAAACACGATTATGAAGAGTAACACCGGAAAGAGAGTTAGATGGAGTGATATTAATGACATGAGTAGCAGTGAGAATGACCTCAGCATAGAAACGACGAGGAACAAAGTAAGAAATGAACATGGATCAAGCGGTATCTAGGATATGATGATGTTTACGTTCAACAATACTATTTCGCTCATGAGCGTAGGAACATGACTGTTGAAAGATAGTCCCATGAGAGGACATGATAGAGCGTATGGTAGAGGATATGTACTCTTTGGCACAGTCAGAACAAAAACTTTTAATACGAGGTTGCCTTTGAGTGAAAATCATAGCAGTGAAGGCTTCATAAGCAATAAGTACGTCAGAATGATTCTTAAGTAGGTAAACCCATGTAAAATGAGAAAAATCATCGATAAAACTAACATAATATAAGTATCCAGATGAAGAAGACAAAGGAGCTGGCTCCTAAATATCAGAATATACTAAATCAAATAAAGAAGTGGATATAGATGTACTCACTTTAAATGATAAAGCAGTAGTCAATTTACAACCAGTATATTACTTAATACTAGAACTAGATGATACAGGACCAAGTACTCCAGACCGAATAAGACTATCCAGCCTTTTATTAGACACGTGACCAAGTCGTCTATGCCACAAATTGGCAGGAAGCGAGGTAGAGGGTTTTGACGAACAAACAGAAGCAACAAGATAACGTGGACGTA